AACTAGTTTAAAAAAAGGATGTCTTTCGTTCCGGTGATTTCAATGTATCGAAAATGTCAACGAATTAATGGAAATCATCGAGCCTAACCATTATGCGAGCACCGTTTCGCTTGCCCCAGATCTTCCCATAGCTCAAAAAAGAGTTTGGAACCACTTGAAAAAGTTTGGATGGACAAAGAACCTCGCTCTATGGTGGATACCACATGAATTGACGAGAAAATATGTCTTGAGCCGATTTTCCATCTGCTAATCGCTGCTTAATCGTAACAAAATCGACTCATATCTGAAACGGACGGTGACTGGTGCAAAAAAAAATCACTGACAGCAACGTCAAATGGGATTGGTCGTCGTCGAAGGGCAGCGTACCGGTCTACAAGCCAGTATTGACAGGGTTTGTTGTATATTTGGTCGTATTGGCAAGGAAACATTCACTAGGAGTTCCTTCTCTACTCCAAAAACCATAATTTGGGCCTAAACTGTCAGCGATTGCACCATTTGGAGAAAACAATCGCCCAGACGCGACCAGCTTTGGTCAACAGGGAAGCAATTGTGTTTCATCAGGATAACGCTAAGACACACATACAAATCGATAGTAGCACACTTAGGCCAATGGGCCATTGTTATACTACTGAGGCTTCAGCCATCATCTTCTCAGATGGTGGAACCATTTCGTGTACGTTACAAAGGCAACGAGATTTACAATATTCGCTGATGCCATCTCATCGAAACGATCGAAGAAATGTTTCCCAAGAAATTTGTATCGCGCTGATGTCAAGGCTGGACAGTAGCAGAGTTAGTGCTCGATGCTCTCCTCCTCTTCTTCATCCTTGCAGCTGCGGCAGAAATCATTAGAATAATATCCTATTCTTTTCCCGTGAAGCCCCATTAAACAGTGTCCAGTTATTATGCTCGTTGTTGTGTTAACGGGGAACCGGTCTAGAAGGATAAGATGTTTGGGTTTTTTCACGTCCAGCTTCGGCCTTAGCTGTTTGGTCACGTCACACGTGATCTCGTTCAGCCGACTTGAGTCAGCTTCTCTGGTAAAAGGCCGTTTAAGCATGTGCTTTGTCATGGACAGAGGTAAACCTGCATCGTGTGTATGCTTTATCGTGAGTAGAAGGCTTCCTTCCCTTGCTAATTCGTCAGCCATGCAGTTGTCTGGGATGTCCCTGTATTCAGGTACCCGGACAACGGCAGTGCTATAATTAGTGAAGAGTTTGTTCGGAACGTTATCGACAGTGAGTCGACAACCACCACACACAACCATAAGTTATTTTGCAGTGATAGAACTTAATTCTTTTAGCTTAAGGGGACCCTCCCATGATATTAGGCGAAAATCATGCAAAGTTTATATTTTTTTGTGGTAAAATGAAAAGGCGTGCGAACTTTCGGTTTCGACTATTATATTGGTTTATTATTTGAGATTTTAAAGCGGCAAAAAATAGTCGATATTCCAAATTACGACTACAAAATGGCGCTTTCCGTCGACCTCCGCTCGAAAAACATGGCCCACCAAAATTTTGGGTAAAATTCGATTATTTTTTTCAAAAGGCCGCCATATTGTCAATGTACGATTTTTTTTTATCGTAGGTCATTGTACAGACATTATCTTAACGAGAATTTTTTTTTAGATTTCATCCATAGAGAAGGCCCGAATCACTGCAAAAGTGAAGAACCTTTTTTTTTCGCGCCGTTGGAGATCGACTATAACTTAAAAGTTATTTAATTTTCTTCTTCAAAAACTTCATTGTATATTCTTAAAATTTTGAAATAATTTATGGAGTATTTTTTTTAATAAAAATTCCCAAAAATCACCGTTTTTTAGGCCATTGCGCTAGGTGTGCCCCTTAACCATGAATCGTCTTACAAACGAACAACGCTTGCAAATTATTGAATTTATGCCACACAGCACCAGTAACAATGGACTCATTGAGAGGTGAGTTCGGTGAACAGTTTATTTCACGTTCGGGACCGGTCATTTGGAGGCCTAGATCGTACGATTTGACGCCTTTAGACTACTTTTTGTGGGGCTGTGTTAAATCTAATGTCTATACAGACAATCCCACTTCAATTGACGCATTGGAGGACAACATTGAAGCATTTATTCGTGAGAAACCGGCCGAGATGTTGGGAAGAGTAGGCGCAGTCACGGTCAACATTTGCATGAAATAATCGTCAAACTTTAAGTTATATGTACCGTACTATGAATACAACGAAAAATTTCATGTATTTTTCTGAATTTTATGTGTTTTTTTTTATTTTGAGGAACTTTCCTATAGCTCTTAAAAAATCACCCTTTACATTGAAAACACACACAGTCATCAAATAATTAATTTATTATTATAATTTTTTTTTAATTCGTAAACAATAGCCAAATGCTTCAGTATGGGTATTTTTAAATATTTATTTGTTTGCATATTAAACAGCTCTTAAATATTTGATGAAGTAGCAATTTTATTGGTATTTAAATAGAGATATTCTAAAATAAAAATTATTTGTGTGTATTGTATGAGCTGCAAAGCCTATATGTCGATTCCAATATATTCGTAAAAATTTTTAATTTTGATGTGCGTTTAATTTATTAATCGAAAATTTATTTATTATAAACTGATTTATTAACTAAATAATTTTTATAACTAATTTTAATAAATTATCAATCTTGTTATATTTATTTAAATTTCTTCATCAATTCTTTTGGTCACAAGATTTTTTATTCAAGTCTAAGAATTTGCGATGAACCAATTAATCGAGTTTAATAATCCACAAACCTGAGAGAGAATTTGGATGAGTTTTTTTGACCACACCAACACTGCCAAGTAGACATCTTTAACTTCTTTTATGAGCCTTAACTTATTTATTTATCTACCGCTATTTCGAACCGAAAATTCACGATCTTTATTTGATAAACACGAGCGAAGTGCGTAGTCCCCAACCTTCTGCTTGAAGTAACCTTTAGCGAAATCTCGAAAACTTTAAGCGTTTGGTATATCGCTTACTGTTGGACACAAAAGTAAAATTATCCTTAGATTTTGAACATTTGGCTGCTGGTTAAGATTCTGACCAGCACCAAGAACTTTTCACTTTGCACCATTAGAGCTTCGAAATCAAAAAAAAAAATTATCATTTTATGGGCCGAGTAAGCAATTCCGGTATCATTAAGACTATTTACGAAGAGCAGACATTTACGAATCACCAATTAAAACTGCAGCGTAATCCGTCATTAGCAAATCCGAGACTAAAATTTTTTTCCCGTCATTCTGGCCTTTTTGCACGTTTTTCAAAGGCTGGAAAAAAGTACGATCAAAAATTGCTGGCTACAGTAAGGCGCCGTATGCAAGGAAGCTACTCTGCGCATACCTGCGATTACGCTCAGAAGGCACCAATGGATTTAAGTGGGCCACCTCTGAGTCTGGCCTGGCGTTAAAGAAATAGATTTTCTCTTACATAATTCTATGTAACATCGGCCTAATCAAACTGTCAGGCAGGACTATCAATTGAGTGTTATGCATCATAGCGTATAGTATGTCAGCCGTTTTGAACCTAAGGTATAACCCATAATCTACACCAATCAACGTCATATAAGGCCTTCTCGAACGTATTTTGTGTAAAACTATAGATCGCCATTAACAAACTGATAAGACCTTATCAACATGTCTTTAGACCTGGTAAATTAGACATTGACCAGATATTCACCATGCGCCAAATCTTGGAAAAGACCCGTGAGACAAAATCGATACACATCACCCCCTCATCGACTTTAAAGTAGACTTTGAAGGTACAAATAAGAGCTGCCTTTACGCCGATATGTCTGAATTTGGTATTCCCGCAAAACTTATACGGATCTGTAAGCTAACGTTAAGCAACACTAAAAGTTCTGTCAGAATCGCGAGGATCTCTCCGAGCCGCTCGATACCATAAGAGGTTTCAGACAGGGTGATCTTATTGCTGGAGTAAATAAAACCAGCTGCAGATGAGCTGAATAGAGAAGTTATAATCTTTTTTAGGAGTTTACTGGTTGAACAGCGCGCCGCGAGTTCTACTTTCTCCTATATTGGATAAGCAACCAAAGCGTATGGATCCGCTAGAGAATGAAGTTCACACGAAATAGCTACGATCTTCAAACGAACAGTAATCGCATGCGTAACTCGTCTCTCGCAGTCACAACTTGAACTCGTTTATCTGTGAGCCAGTATAAACACCAACAGTGATGTCAACCTGGAAATCCAAGGCAAGATCACTCTTGCCAAAAGCTGCTGCTTTGGCCTGAATAGGCAAGTGAAAAGTTAAGTCCTCTCTAGACGAATAAGATTTTTGAGGCAACGGCAAATACCTTACATAAAGAACGATGTGCTTTGAAGGTTTCTGATCCAGTTGCTATCGGTGAAGCAAGACAAGAAGAAGAGCACTCGTACTTTAGAAAGATGATGTGGAGAAAGATCTGCTTGCACTTGGTATTTCCAATTTGCATTAAATATCGAAAGGAAACAAGTAAAGGAACTGTTTACGCCAGTAAGGAAGAAGAAGAAGACAGCAGAAGAAGAAGAAGCGGTGAATAAATTTCTGAAAAGATATTAATCTGCTTAGCACCACGACCTTCGTATTCACCTCAGCCGGCTACGTGTTACTTCTCAATCAAATCAATCGAAAGAAACCGATTTAAGTCATTTGAGGAGATTCAACGAAACTCACTAAAAGAGTTGTCTTTCAGGAACTGTAAATCACATTGGCGCATGTCCATAGCACCGTGAGGTATTATTTTGAAGGCGAACACGAATTGAAACTCCAATTAATTTTAATAAATAACAAATAAAATTTAGATTAAAATGTTTTTTTTTTAGCTCAAAAACTTCCTCGTTGTGAAGCAGCGATTCTATGAGATTTTCCATTTTTGCAGTTCTTTTAATGGCTGCAAGAACAAACAGGACAATAAGTAAGATAATTTTTAAGCAAGAATATATGTTTATATATATATATATATATATATATATATGTATACTCACCTTTTTCTATTATTAAAATTTGATCCCTGCATCCCTTGTTTCCTTTTGTGTTCATATATTCTTATTTTTGTTTGCTACTTTTTTATTTTATTGTAATCTCATCCACTTTTTTTCTTATCTTCTTTTTGTACTCATATGCACGCTTTAGCAGACAAATTTAAATCTACTTAATCAAAAATATTATCCACGGATTCAAATTTTTGTTTACATCGCAGCGTCTCGGATCAGACATTCTCGCACCACTGCAAGTGTTGTCCACATACAATATATATATATATTAGCGCCAATTATTTATTTGCTTATGACACAGGTCGTGACACATAGACGCCGACACTGCCCCCCCCCCCACACACACACACACACACACACACACACACACAGACACACACACATGCCCCAAGTGTTTCTTGTATTCAATTTTTACTTTATTTTTCGAGTTTTCATGCTTTTATCCGCATATTTATGCATTATTTTCTTGTTTTTGGAAAAAGCTTCTGCAGAAGTCTGCCTAAAACGCTAATTCTGCATGTGTTTGTGTGCGTGCGTGTGTGGTCCTCAATGTCTATACAGTAGCCTCGCTATTTCTAACTATTTTTGGCACATTTTTCTTTTTCATTTTTATTTCTGTTTTGTTTTTGCTTTATTCACTTTTTACTTTGCCCACGGCAACGGACGGCGAGCCTTCGTTGTTGTTTGGTTTTTGTTTTTTTTTTTTGTGTTTTTTCTGCGTTCTTTTTCTGGAATGTGTTGGGGTAAATTTTTAACACGAAAGAAAATGTGATTTCGTTTGTTTGCTTGCCTGTTGGCAATTTATACGGACAACGTGGCAATTTATTACCTTTTCGTGAGTTTATTGGCTAACTTAATACAACTGGATATATCACTTGCATACATACGTACATATGTACATAGACACACATTTGCAACTAGGGTATAATTATGGTAATCACTTCTTCACCATTTTTTTGTTTTCTTCACACTTTGTTTTTGGTATTTGTGGTATTGCGTAGTTAATTTACTTTGTTCTGTTTGAATTTCATTTTGGGTTTGTTTTATTTTCTAAACAACTTTGACACTCTGAAATGGTGAAATTGGTTTTATGGGTCAACAATTTCGGTGTCTTCTTCTCATTTTGGCTGTGGAGATTAAGGCGTGATGCTGATATTTAAATTTGACATTAAGACACTCTCAAATAATATGTAAATAATCTTTATAACTTTTTAGGTAAATTGAAAAATATTAATTTCTGTAATGAATTTTACTCTTTTCTGATATGTTGCAATTGTTTTTATTTATACAATTTAAATATTATTATTTTATTTTATTTTATTTTATTTTATTTTATTTTATTTTATTTTATTTTATTTTATTTTATTTTATTTTATTTTATTTATTTTATTTTACTTTATTTCATATTATTTTATACGAATTAATTCATTTAGCGTATATAACATATATTGTAAATTTTAATTCCCGCATTTGGATATTTAAAATTTATTGGTCTTAACAATTTTAAGATTTCTCGCTCTCAAAAACTTACACAATTTCGTAATTATTTTGTGTTATTTTTATTGCCTTTTTTTGTAATTTTAAGTATTGCATTATAAAATGTTTTGTACAATTTTTCTGAAGTGGGATCACTTTCATTTCAAGTCTCACTATTTTAGAATTTCATATCAATGCTGTTGCTACAATTCTTCATACATACTTTACTCATAAAACAACCTGCTTCTCAGCTTACTGCTGCACTTGCTCTCTGTTAACAGTTACCACAGCAATTATACCTCTTATTCAAGCGTAGCATTTCCTAGAAAACACACACAGTCACATCAAAACTCACCTATTTATATATTTACGTATGGATTAAAGTGCTCTTACTTTGGCATCTACTAAGCAGCTACGGTTTAAGCTTTAGAGGCCTAGCTTTTGTATGTAATTACACAGAAACAATTTTATGGCTTTTGAGTCAGTCGGTCGGCTTCAAGGCAGCGTAAGGCAATTCTAGAAAAGCTATTTTATTCTCAAAAATTCCCTTAGCATGCGTTATTCGCCTATATATATATATATATATATTTATATATATATTTTTATATATTTAGTATATGCGCCTACTTCACATAAAATTTCGGCTTCATCTAGTGTTTTCTACTCGTCTCTTCGCTCTGTTGGGCTGTTTAGTGCTGCTGCGCCTTTAAGTCCTAGTCAAAGTTAATAAATGTGACTACAGGAAATTATACCGTTACGCTTTAGTGCGCTTACAAAGATTTCAATTTGTGTGACCACAATTGGCTGGTTGGTTGGTTACTTGGCTGCTATGCCGATACATACATACATATATGTAAATCGTAGAGCTCTGTATATTCGATCAGTTGACCGTTTATGTACGAATTTTTTAGCTGCTGGTGTTCGGTGCGCCTTGCGTCGTACGTGGCGTATACGTGACAGCAATTATGCTTGGTACGTGGGCGCCAACTGTCAGCAAATTTCATACATACATATCTACATATATGAAGCTGGCGGTGGGTGAGAATTATATTTGGGATTTAGGCATCTAAAAGGCAAAGAGCCAGAAAGTGGCTGGCTTATTTTGCTGGTAATCATATAGAGATGCTATAAAAATGGCCACAAATAGAATGAAAGCAGATTTATGCTCATTAAAATCTCCAACTAAGTATGTGCATACTAGTAATCTCATTTAATGATACTATTTATGTATTTAAGAAGCTGCTTTTTGGCATTTTTGTTCATCAATATTAGATTTTTATTAGATATGATGGCCTTTATTAAAGAAATGGCTATCGAGAGCGAAAATTTACAAATTTAATGTTTTCTCAAGCGCTAAGACAACTAAGTGCCCGCCAGCAGTCACTGCGTGCCACACTTAATATTGCTTTATTCGATAATTAATGTCACGCTGTGAGGTGGTAGTTCAACTGCTGCATCACTAAAAGAGGATTATGCTTTATGTGTGTTATGATTTCCAGAAATACTTTGAGCTGCTTCAAGGAAACCACACCAGTTGATTAACCCCCCTGCGGGTTAGGGGCTCCAGAATTTACCCGCGGCAAGGCATGCCTGTCGTAAGAAGCGACTAAAATCCAATAGTTCCCGGGACAGTCGGGTCTTTATGCCGGAACGACACGGATTTTTATCCGGCCAAGGACGGTCACTCCCGCAACATTCTTCAAAAGGTGCTTTGGGGAATATTTTTGCGGTTACAACAACGACAACATTAGAATTAGAAGGCAGAACGATATAGCACCAACTGGTTGCTTGATTACATTTAATTTAGTAAAAAGAAATCAGAAACTTTTGAAATTTCTTAAAGTTAAAAGTAAAGATTATTTTTAAATTGAATCTATCCTATCGCTATAAAACAGATCTGCATCTTGCCCCACCAAGGGCCAATGGCTTCATGTAAGGCGCATCAGTCGCCCAGGGTAACCTAACAGATCATTGCATGCCAGAAGTGGTCTTACAACTTAAGTGATACAAGCTTTCAAATTCAACTAATATCTAATACTAAATAGAGAAAAGGCATATCTTCAGAGGAACACAGAAAGCAGCTATATTCACGGATAAATAGCCGTCACTGTCCGCCTTATCGTTACCAATGAGAAATTCAAGCAGGTCAACTCACCATCTCCACAATCTGGGTACACGGCCATGGGACAATTTTGCCAATGAAAGAGGGGACATATGTATCTGATGCGAAGATGATATTACTCTACCCACTTGGAATAAGGAAGGGAAGGATTCATATACAATTTAAACAACAGGCCTTGAACAGAAGGAAATCCATATTCAACTTTAAACTAACGAAATAGATTTGATCCATAAAGTACATTTAGAATTACAGCTACACTAACAGGCTACTAATCCGCTGGAGAGCTCGTATAAAAAATGAGTCTGTCCTATAACAGCCGTTGCCGCAGAGTGATCATGAGGGCAGCGAGGGCAAATGTCTCCCTCGTGTTTTCACTTTGCATAGATAGAGATATCCGATTTGTGTAAGAAAGGCTCAAATTTTGCTAGATAACATTTTGGCACTTTGAAAGAAATGTGACTCTTCCTATCTCATAAAAAAACACCCTTGTCCCTATTGGTTTCTTTTGGGACCAATTTTTCACCAACCCAATTATTGTCCAGAGACAGAAAAAGATGTTAATCACTTCGTGTGATGAGACGAGTACATATGGAGCCTCTTGGCCAAGCCTTCGGAGATTCTGGTTAGTCAGTATCGCTGTGTGTGACGTTGTCCTGATAAATCACAATCCCCAATTGTTAGAATTACTTTCTTCAACCGGTTCTGTTGCTGACTGTAAAGATACGAACAAAGAGTTTGACCGTGGGGGAGCAGCTCAAAGTGAATGATTCTTTGACAATACCACCAAACACACAACAAAACTTTCCTGGCCGTTTGCGATGGCTCGGAGACCACTTGTGCCGGTTCAATGCGCTTCCACCATCATTAAGCATTGCTTGAAGTTATTCACTTTTCATCACCATTCACCATCGAGGTTTTTTGTATATCCAATATTTTACAAGTGATTCCAAACTTTTTTTGGTATTTTGGTTGGCTTCTTAACTTTCACAAGGGCCATTAACATTATTTAAATTTTCAGTTACCACGAGATACAGATCACTAAAACCACCTACTACAACAAAAAATGCTACTTTACACTTTAGAGCGCGAATTCTTGGACGCGAGCACCATCAGAAGAAAACGAATGGAATTCAGACTTGGTGGTTACAGAAAAATCTACGTACAAAATTTATTAATTATAAGTAAAGACTCCACTTCTCGACCTAGAAACAACCCGGGGTAGAAATTGTATTTTTGTATTCAAAAGACTACCGGACTCATTCAGCTGGGGTGCAAAACTCCTAAAAGTTTTGGCGCAAAAGACCCAGTAATACAGTCGAAATGTCGGTCATTCGCTGCCGAGGCGAAGCCGTAGGTAAGCAAATTAACTTTCTTTACTTTTGGATGTGCGTCGGACCAGGACTCCAAATCTTGCCTACCAACAGCGAGTACACAGTGCTAACAACTCGGCTATAGGAGTTTTTACAGGATAAAACATTGTCTGGCCAGTCAAAATGAGATTGAGAATAGAGACTGACTTGAAAACCAGATTTGCTGGGATGAATGATACAATTTGTTGTTCGAATTTTTGTTTACAAAACCCTGCACGTAGGCACATACCTATTGAAAATCTTTTGTCATGGATGACAGTTTGACTAGAATAATCTTGCCGTTTATTTCGTTTTCCAATATTTCGATGAATTTAAATTCTAGTTCTCGAACTCTGGATACGATCCACTTCATAGTAATTCCAAGTGAACTGTTCAAGGTTTGCTTGGAGTTCTGTTAAATGATTGAAAAGAGAAAAGAGGTAATGGGAGAATCTTAACTAAGGGTGGCAAGCGGTTCAAAATTGGCGGTGAATTCGCACGAAAACTTTATCTGTTTCTATGATATTAATTTTCATCTACAATAATTATTCAAAAAAAAACCTCTCATAACCGAGCAAAATATAGGGACCCAAGTTTTTCAATGCGTTTTTAGAACAAATTCTACTCTAACAACCAGACACTCAAATTACCGGACGTGATGTTCAGCAATTCAAACAAAAGTTACCAAATATTTTGTTAGACTTCAGTCCAAAACCTGAGTATGTTACTGAGTTTTTTTCCATACATGGCCCAATAAAACGCTTGTTATAAAGAATAAGAAATGCATTTACGATAACTGTGCTATTGTATGCCAATATGATTTGTGATAAAGAAAAGCCTTTAGTGATCCGAAAAGCAGCACATCAATGCACCTTTAAAAAATGCGATTTGAAAAGTTTGCCAGTGGAATGGAAATTTCAACAGAAATCTCAACAGAAATCTAAACAGAAATCTCAACAGAAATCTCAACAAAAATCTCAACAGAAATCTCAACAGAAATCTCAACAGAAATCTCAACAGAAATCTCAATAGAAATCTCAACAAAAATCTCAACAGAAGTCTCAACAGAAATCTCAACAGAAATCTCAACAAAAATCTCAACAGAAATCTCAACAGAAATCTCAATAGAAATCTCAACAAAAATCTCAACAAAAACCTCAACAGAAATCTTAACAGAAATCCCAACAGAAATCTTTGATGTGTCGTGATGTGGTGGCTACTTGATAAAAAAAATATGGGCTCCCATAATTGTTTTTCTTATACCTGCTAATACAACAACGTTTGTCAGCCGCTCGATCAGGGTATTATACATAATTGTAAATGAAGCCACTTTCAAAAACTTTTGACATTTTGGAGGTTGTTTATTTTTTGAAATTTTCATGGCACAAAGTAACGGCAGTAACAGTTTAGAACTGCTTTTCAAAAGCCAGTACTTTCATGTGAAATATTTGGTTTCATTGCAGAAGATGATATCCCTATATCGTCACTAACGACGTTGATAAATATTTTAAATGTAAATGGGCTAGAACAGCTTTCGAAAGACTTTTTATAATCGACGAAGTTCTTACAGATTTTTGGAATTGTACAGAACTTATCTTTTAAAATAAAACTGAAGTAAGAAATGAATAAAAATGTCTTTCATTTAAGTCTTGTTCTTCAACTCCCACAGCCGGTCACTCCTTATAAGCCGTTAAAAATTGTAGAACGGTGTGTATCCGGTTATGAGAGGTTTCACTGTATGGTGATGTTGGGTAACGTGTGTGAGACCTCTATTGAGAGCATGCAGTTATGCTCAGCAACACGAAAGGGACGGTTAGTTTTGCGTTAAGAAAATGTGATTTAAAAAAAAATATATTTATATAATAATTTCCTATAAAACAAAATTTCCAAATTGATTGCTGTCTATGTTACCGTCTGTCAGTTTACTACTCTAGCCCAACAAATTGTGTTTCATGAAAACTTTTATGTTCTTATTTGCTCTACTTTTTACTTTTTTGGTTTATGAGCCTGCTCTAAGCAGAAATAGAGCAACTCTGATCACGATTTTCTGCTCTGATTTTTTTGGTAGAGTTACTTAGAGCAACCAATAACATTTTTTTGACAGACGCGGTTAGAAAGCCTAAGCGTGCAAAATATAAGAACGGAATTGTCACGGGCTATAATAAACAACTTAAATACAAGTGATAATAAAAGTAATAAATTTTATTAAGTAATATATGAAAAAAATTGTAAAAATTTCTATTTTGTTTACAGCAGAAAAGTCAAACATTCCCAGTTGAAAATTGTTGCCCGAAAAATGTTTTATGAGCTTTTTGCTCCGAGTTACTTTAACTTGCTCTATTGTTTTTTTTTAACAGTTGCTCTGTTCTGCTCGAACAAGAGCTGCTCTACTCTATTTTCAGTCTCAATAAACGGACCTACAATAAATATTACTTTCTTTGATTTTTTCTTCCAATCTTGATACCACAGAATTTTTTTTTTTCGAATTAATCGAGTACTAGAGACCGTAGTTGCATGAAAATTTAATGTTTTATTTTAATTAAAAAATCAGAGAAATCACAAAACCGCTAGAATGGTCCACAGTAAAAAGCAGCACGAACAGTTTTGAGTGCCATCGAACATTAAGAATGCAAAGTGAAATTGTTCTTAGAGATGGTATCTGTAACACTTTATTTTCAAGCTTCATACACATGTCATTTCCTGCACTTTATACATAATTTTTATTATTTATTCACAAATATTTTTGAACTATTTCCTCCATATTTCCTTGCTTTCAGAGTATTGTGATGGATTTGTATGTATAATAAAAATATTTTTAAATCATTTGTTTAATTCGGGTTAGATACCATATTTTATGAAATTTATTAAAAATAATTAATACGCACATACACACATCTATGAATATATATGTACACCAGCCAGTTAGAAATATGGCATGTAAAAGTATTTAAGGCAAATTAAACTTATTATTTTTATGTGACACCTTGGAATGGCAACGATAATTATTAAATTATAATATTTTGTTTTAAATTGAAACTAAATATGTAAATTAATTTTTAAATGTCATATTAAATCTAAAATAAATTATTGCACTCAATTCATTTCAATTCACTAATCTGCACGCCTTAGTACGTTGGGCTTGCAATTAAATTGTGTGTAAAATAATAAAAATTTATTTAATTGGCGTGTTATAGAACTTTTTTAATTATTACTGGTATAATTAGCTGAGTTTCTAAAATTTTATTTTAACAACTATTGAAGTCTTTATCCAATAATTTACTGAAAAATTTTTGTTTTAAATATATTGCTGAGAATTTATTTTTAATTGCGTTTAATTTAAGTTTTCTATTTATTATATTTTAATTTTAATGTTTTTTATACCTTTTTAATTTGGAATTTATTTTTAATTAAGTTTAATTTGAGCTTTATATTTATTTTATTTTTTTCCAATATTTACACTTTCTTAATTTTTAATTAAATTCAATTCAAGATTTATATTTGTTAATTTTATTTTATTCACATTCATGTTATTATTATTCTGCTTTTATTTTTATTTTTATTATTTTTTTTTTTTTTTTTTTTGGTGCACACATTTCTCTCTTTTTTCAATTTATCAACTCAAGAACTCATAAATTTTATGTTTCATAAAAATTTAATTAAAAACAATTCCCACAAATTCTTTATGCAAAATATTAAATATTTTTTATATTCCCGCACAACAATAGCAGCACCACAAAAAAAATTAATGCTCTTTTTACGGTCTTTTATTTAATATGAATTGCATTAATACGCGCCAAAGTCGTGAAAATGTCCACGTAGTATGTCAAAGGTAATGGGCGGATGTATATTTCACTACACACATACATATACATATTTAATTATAATAAATATAAAGACATATATTTATATGCATACCAGTTATATTTTTAAAACCGTAATTTCAAATATTTTTAAAGCGTGCCAATGCACACGTACACAACTTTATGCCAATCTCGCCACTTCACCATAAAAATCATTGTAATTGATGCTTATTAGCAATATTTCATATATATTTAATTTCTTGATTTCGCATTACGCATTAATAAACAATATATTGCGCATGTAAATGACAAGTATTAATAAATCATTTATTTATTTTTTTTTTTTTTTTTATTTTTTTTTTTTTTTTTTTTTTTCAATATGCCGGTTATAGTCAAAGTATTTCGGTCAATAATGCGTCTCACGAACCGAACACGTTTACAAATCGACGTTAACTGAATTTGTGCTAGAAAAACGTTTAAAATCAAGCACACATTGAAATTGCTGTTGAATTGTATTAACATTAACATTCTCTGGTAACAACTGTTGGGGGTGGAATGTTAACAGCATTCATGTTTGTTAGCAGCAAAAAACTCATTCACATTGGCTGTTAGCGGCGGAACTTTGAATTTTAACATAGTCATTATATTAACATTGTGTTATGAATAAAAATTTGAAAAAAATATTTTTTTCATTATATTATCTCAAAATATTTTCTGAACTTTTGTCAAAGCAGAAATTCAAAATTTTTTTTTTTTTAATTTTATCACCGCAAATTAAAAGAACAACGTCTAAGCACTCACAGCACTGTTAATAAAATAACAGAAAACACTAAGCGTCCATTCGAAGTTTACAAAGTTTTGAAATAATAAAAATAAGCATTGATTTTATGTTGTACAGAAAGTGAGAAGTTAAGTACTGTCAGATCTTTCAGTATAAAAAGGATGGTTGACTAACAGGACTAATGGAACTGGGAGCATGTTCGATTTGATTGAAGTAAAAAAATTAGTATGATTTTGAAAATAAGCATATGTTCGGTTCACATTTTTATTATTTTCCAGCGAAGTGTTCAACTTGAGTGTGAATGCATTTCACTTACTTACTCACACATACTTATAAAAGGATAGAGTAATCTACGTAAATAAAAATCTTAGTTAGTTCGTAAAGCTCCGCCCCACCGACTGACATTTTCACACAACATATATTGGCTCTTTCTGCTCGATCAACACCTGCGAGAGAGATCAATGGCCGCCTGATATTCTCAATGTATTTTATATGCGAATATGATGCTGGATGCATTTCTTCGATCCCAGAGATCGCAATAAAATTACTCATTATGTCAGCAAAGCAGGATGGCGCGTTGTCATGATGTAAACAGTAGCGCCGCAACTCCTCTTTCCTTTTCTTTCCAACAAACTTGAAAACTTTTTGTAAGGAGTCTTTGATGTGCCATTTCACAGTTAGCGTTTGACCCTTTTCCAGTGGAATAACAACTACGATTCACACGATTTAAGTGATTTAAAGTGACATCATTACTTTTGTGCTGATTTTTGCTGCTGAGATTTTATGGGTGGATTTGCTCCTGTAGTGTTCCATATCATGGACTGCTGTTTGGTTTCTGGATCATATAGAACCAAGATTCGTCACCAGTAACAACTTCAAGACTGGCCATTTTCGAATTTGTTTATGATAAATTGAGCAAAATGCACTCGAGCCTCTTTTTGGGCCTCATTTGAAATTCGTGGTAGCCCTCCGGCTCTTTATATCTGGGAGTTAGAACCAAATTAATTTTTCTCTGTCTATATTTCTTTACATGGGGATCGAATTTTTCGAGTACAGCGATAATGAACTTTTTAACCCAGTTTTATGGATCCAATTCTTTCGCAACTGTTGCAATTTTGTTTTTTCTTTGCCCTCACCACGTCGTGGATACCAATATGCCTCTGAGCTCACTCATGACTAAGGATTTTGTCATCGCGAGGCATGATAACTGCGAATCTCATAAATAAGATGGACGTCAAAGGTCCCAACTTATCGGCCTTGCTTTGCTGGAACGGAAGTTACTCGCACCATAAGCGTCCAACTGTTTCAGAGCATATCTTTTGTTCATTTTTATTTGTTTGATTTAAAAGTGCACCATAATCTTCATCTTATACCTTTAAAATGTGTTTTCTATCTCTTAACTAGTAACTTCTTTTTGAACCACATTGTATTTATTAGCAGAACCCAGAAAAAGCATCACAAGAAACATCGCAAAAAGCTTACTTAACAATTATCTAACATTATTGTGTAAACTAATAGAAATTGTTACAGAAATAACTGCTGTGAGATAATCAGCTGTTATTAAAAGAAATATTTTAAATACAAGTGAAATATTAACAGCTTCTGCTCGACTACAGCTGTTATGTGAGAGAGCAGTGAGAACAGACTTATCGAACATTGCACTGTTTAAGCACACTTTTAGGCGTTTAACATTGGGTTCCACAGAATTTCGGAATAAATTCACTAAATCGCTAATGAATTTCGAGTGAATACAGTGAAGAGAATAATATCAACAGGTGAGTGTGACGAATTAGATAACTAGGGGATGAGTTGCAATGTTATGACAATTTGCTGTAAAGCAAATAGATTTTAAATACCTAAACAGTTAAATATATTGAATGAATTTATCATAATTTTTTTTTAAGTAAGAGATAGAGATGTGCGTTTATGAGTAAATAAAATAAGTATGAATGACTCTTCATTTACATATTTACCGTGTTTACATCACCAACGCTAAAACGCATACATAGTTAGACGGACCTTCGGCCACCTACGATTTTTAAAGTTTAATTGCACTAAAAGCCTATTAAATTCCTATGCGACATATGTACATATATTCCTTGAACAATGAATAGTTGCTACAAGTATGTTTTAAAAATTAAAAAAGGATGAAAAAGCAAATATCCCAACATGAGGAATGTTTACTCTTGCATTGTATTGTTCTACAAAGAAGGAAAAATAAATAAGCCCTTTCATGAATGGTTAAACATTTAGAGGATATAACAAATACATACATGCAAATCATTGAATTTGTTACCGAAATATGTAAAAATATAAAAAATATAAAAATAAAAATTGGAATGGGTGCATTGGGTCAGACATACATTAGCAAAATTGTAAGGAATTTTGCTGGGAAACTGAGGAGCCAAAGAAACAATAATATGTAAGTAAAATAAAATAAAATACAACAAAAACAAAATATACTTAAATTATAATAAATTAATTAAAAAATGAAAGCAAAATGAATAAAATGAATTAAAATAGAACAAAATTAACATAAAAATACTAAATAATAGAAAATAAAGTAAAGCAAATTAAAATAAAAAAATACAAATTTTATTATATAATAAATAATATAAAAAAATTAAAAATGTAAAATTAAAACAAAATAAAATCAAATAAAGGAAAGTCCAAAAATTTTAAGAAAATAAAATAAATTAACTAAAATAAAATTAACTTAAAAAATTGTAGTATTAAATATAACTGAAAAAAAAATTAAATAAAATAAAATTAAATAAAATAAAATAAAATAAAATAAAGCCAAATCTAAAAAAATTAAAAAAGTAAAATTAAAAAATAAAAAAACTCAAAAAGAAAATTAAAAAAAAAAATTAAATAACCAAAATAAACAAAAAAATAAAATTATTTTATATCAATTAAATAAATAAAAGCAAAAAAAAAAAAGAAATTAAATTTTATGTAATGGAGCCTTACAACCGCTTGAACGATTTTCTGCCGCGCCGCTCCCCCAATTTGTGGTTTTGCGTCTTGACGTTTTTCCAATAAATGGAGGGATCTACAGTTTATACCAAGCCGCCTCTGAACGGCTGTTGGCCGTTTATGAGGAGCCTTTGTTTCATATCACAAATAAGCTTGGAGGCATTATCATTCCCTGCCAAGGGGCGATCGCAGTTGGAAAATGTAACTTTATTTTATTTTAATGATGATTAGACCAATAGGGTTTGAACCTAAGCCTCTCGAATGGCAGAACGTAATGCTAACCACTCGAATCCCGCGGCCACCAAATTGAATTACTTTAGCTATCTTGCAAAGGATATCTTCAGAGAGGCGCAGATAAAGTGTACATGGAGGAGACATTAGTGAAAACGAACTCTTTGCCTGGAAAGCTGCCTGAAGCTGAAAGGCACACTGCTGTGTTAGCTTTTAACATATGTAAGAAGATGTTAGATATCATACAGGTATGGCCAAGTCAATCTTGCTTTATGGTGGTCTAGTATGTTGACCACTGTCCAAAAATCAACTAGAACTCGTAGGAAAGGCAACAGCGGCTCATTTATCGCACTTAAAACTTATTAAAATACTGCACTCGCACAGTGAAATCTGCTGTAAACTTTCTACCAAAATCTTTTGGGCACAACTCTAATAAGCAAAAGAAGAAGATTAAATGGAACATATTCCATAACTCTGCACTTCATGTGGGGCAAAGGCTTCCGGCTACCCTAAAAGCTAGCGTCACACACTCTTTGCAGTTTGCCAACAGAACTTACTACAGAAGAGATCAAAAATAACTGATGTAATGAGTACTACTGGGCTCCAGGTCTCAAAGGCATTAAGAGCAGTGAAAATACTTTTTATTTGCTTGTCAATGGATAAGAGCGAACAGTAGTAGTAGTTATCCAAGTAACAGAGGTAAGAGCTATTAAGGGTTATGGCCTGCAGGGCTGCCAAGAACAAGTGCTAAGGCGGCGGATATTGTCACCAACTCGAAAGAGCTACAGAATGGTTATATGCTTACTGTCGGGCCACATCCTTCCGGCAGGCAGGAAAGGCAGAGTTCACATGCATAAGTGAAAAGCTAGAACAACTGCTCTGTATCTGTTCAGTCTTAGTGAGTACACTTGAGAGAACTGCAAAAAACTTGGAAAAATCTTGTTCAGTGAGAACTAACCTTAACTAAAACAAAATAAAACAAAATATAACAAAATAAAACAAAATAAACAAACATTCTACATTTTGTCTTCTTCTTCTTATTCTTCTAATTTCAGTTGAAAATAGACTCTTCCTTCCATATTGAACTTCTATTTGTAAAGATGACACAAGTGACCCCTATCAATTTGCCAAATGAGCGATAAAAAAAGAGGATAGCCCACATTTAGAGCGACACATACACATACATACCAACTGGCTGTGGCATATTTACAATGATTATTTCAATTTTTCTCTAAGTTGGCATTCGATGTTCGATGTTGCCTTGAAAGGTATGCATGTCCTTTACACTTGTTTGCATAAGAAATTATTT